GGGATATCTAAATTCAACTGATTAGATATTCGAATTATCAGAATTCGTTTTGATTATGTCGAATATCGAATTTGAAATTGGATTTTCGAATACCATTGGCATCCCTACCTAAAACCCCCCTCCCCCCCAATAAGGATCGTTTGAACAAAGCAGCTAGGGGTGGCCACGAGTCGAGCTCTTCATGAGCTACTTGAGCTCGGCTTAGCTCGGTTCCAACCGAGCTTGAGCCTAATTTATAGGTTCATTTATTAATCGAGTGAGCTCGAGCCTAATAAAGCTCGGCTCGTGAGCTGGCTCAAATAGCTACATACATACATACATGCATACATTTAATAATAATAATAATAACAATAATAATAATAATAAATATAATTATATAAAATAATATATAATAAAAATATTATATATAATATTTTTATTTTTATATATAATAATAACTAATTATTATAATTCTTAATTTTTTTAAATATCAAATAAAAAATATTATATATATATTTTTTATTTTTATAAAACATTTTTCTCAAGTCGAACTCGAGCTTATGAGCTTTTGACTCGAGCTGAGCTCTAGCTCAAGGTTCTTGCTCAAATTGAGCTTGAGCATTGTATTACCTTGGAAAGCCAAGCTTAAATAGCTAGTTATTTGGCTTGGCTCAAATCGACCGTAAAGGCAGCACCACTCTAATAACCCCTCTCCCCAAAATTGGCAGTTGTAGGAATTGAATTCGCATCTACTATAACAATTAACAAACCAACGAACGTACCAATTGTGCCACCATTCAGTGATTTGGGCTTACTATAGGTCTCAACCCAAGCCCAATCTTAATTTTTGTGAAATTTGAGCTTTCAGGCCTAAACCTAATTTAAAATCCAATGTACAAAACCTCGGATCAGGCCCATCCAAATTTGGAACTCTAGCTCCCTAATGATGGGAAGGGAAGAGTAGGGGGTGAAATTTGGAATGTTTTGGGTTAGGTTGACATCAACCCAATCCCAACCTTAATTTTTGTGAAATTTGAGCTTTCAGGCCTAAACCTAATTTAAAATCCAAAGTACAAAACCTCGGATCAGGCCCATCCAAGTATGGAACTCTAGCTCCCTAATGATGGGAAGGGAAGAGTAGGGGTGCAATTTTGAATGTTTTGGGTTAGGTTGACATCAACCCAAGCCCAACTCGAGACAAGACTACCTCAATCCCAATACAACCCAACTGGAGCCCCAATGAGCCTAATTCTAACCCATCCCAACTTAACTAGCCCACATTAAAGTCAGGTTGAGTTGGGTGGCTTAAAAATATATGTATAATAAAAAGAACAAAACAAAACAAAAAATCCAAGGCCCCAAACAAGTGTTGATATAGTTTTTTAGGTTTTTTTCTATACCCCTGTCCCACTATCCATATCCCCAACCATGGTGACACTGGTCTTCTACAAGTAGCAAGAGAATTTATCAACTTAGCCGGCATCAGTTGGTTATTTCTTGGGGTTAAGTTAAATATTATGTTTTGCCAATTAATCTTTGTAGGTCTCATTAAAACTATCTTGTATGAACGTTGAACAATACTTAAGGATGTATATTAATAGGGACATAATAGTTTAGAATTCTCCCTTTTGCCATGTTTAAGTTGCCCAATTGTTTCACTTGCTTTCTGCTTTAAAACTTTGTTCTCATTTCTTAAAATTAGGATTAGCTTATTAGGGTTGGTTAGCATTCGAACTGGTGCAGAATATATATGGGGACCAAATTAGGTGCTTTAGGAGTATAATTATGTTATACCAACAAATTTTTAACATTCGATATATTCATAGATAGGCAGATATATATGTATATGTTTTTTTTTTTTGGTAGAGAATCTATGTATATGTTGGTGTGGGTAGATGTCCCCACTGAGATATGAAAAATTTTTTATATAACAATGAAAATTTTAAAATGCTCACAATTATCCTCACTCAAATAAATCACTAGGGGTCAATTTCTTTCTTTTTTTCTTTTTTTTTTCTTTTTGTAATGAGTAAGGGATCAAATAATGACAACTATGTCCCATGACCCACTGAAAATTTAAAATTGAAATAAGTTAGATAAACCAAATAGAGTTCTTTCCTTCTATCTCTATTCATTCTAGTATTCTCAAAGGACGAAATATACTTGGGAGTCCGGAGTTCTATCTCTTGGTGTATTACAAATTACAACTCCCAGGTTTGATACAAAATTGTCCTAACCGTTGCTATGTTATGAATAGTATTTTCTTCTATTTCTATTTGTCTTAAAATGTTAGGGAAAGAACATTTTAATCTGAATTTTTTATTTTAATTACTCAAATATTACAACTAAACTGATGTTATGATAATGCCTATCCCTACTACACACTACGCCTCAATGCTAACCCAAAACCAAATAAGGTTGGGCTTATATTTTTCAACCCTAAACCAACTCAATTCATGCTTTTTCTATTTATTTTTCTATTAAAGTGGATTTTGACTAACCCATCTACTACAAACACGGATAAAAGGAATGGATCCAGATCTGCTTTTGTTTTATTGGCTACGAAGATCTGGATCTGCTTATAACAAACAATGCATGAAGGATCTTTAGGGTTCATTTGATTTATGGGAATAGGAGTCTCGTACTCATTTCTGTTAGGATCGCATTCCCCACTTGAGGGAAACAGCCACCCCTTTTGGGAATGAATTCATTCTAGCTCAGTCCATTTCCAATTCTAATTCCTATTTCAACCAAACAAATAGATTATAAGAATAAATCATTTTATTTCCAATTCCAAGGGATCAAGGTTCTAAATATCGATAAGGTAGGGTGTATCAATCTGTATCGGTGCTTTTTTTATATTTTATACTTTTTTAACCACCGATTCAGAAGAATCAGTTTAAGTCTCGGCTATCCTCTAAATTATAACCTGACCCGATACACCCCTTGTAGGAACATATCAAAAAGGCCCCAATACAATATATATCAGCCAATACATAACAATATTTTGAACCTTGCAAGGGATCTTGATTTAAATCTCAGTTCTAAATGCAAATCATGGGGACGCTTGTAAACAAGGACTGTATCTGTATTCCCTACAAGGCTACAATGTCAATATAAAAAAAAAAAGCTCCGTATTCAAAGTCCGGTTACCATGATTTGATGATCCGACTCATTAACGGCCCTTACCATACTTGGACCAATAGGGCCCAAATATAAGTCCACTTGACTCGAGCCACTCAAATTCATCTTTTCTTGGATTTTCGATTCAACATTTTTCTTTTTTTTTTATTTTCCTTTTTATAATTTATAGGATAAATTAGAAAGACCCCCCGTACTATGGGGTCTGTGACAAAGACCTCCCTGACCATGAGACAAAGATCTCCTTTCATTGAAATTCGCCGTTGCAATATTTTTTAATCCCCATATTACCCTTGTAATAATTATTCGGAGAAAAACACTGTTAATCTTTCCCGGCCTCACGATACACGAACAGCAGCGGCAGTAGCTGTTGCAGCGGCCGCAGACTTCCGAAGTCCTCCCTCTCTCTCTCTCTCCCCCGATCTCTCTTCTTCTCCTTCCCCTTTCTCTCATCCCCTTTCTTCTTCCCAATTTCCTCTGTTTTCCGTTTCTTGCAGGTGAATGATCTGAGCCAGATGAGGAAGTGTATCCTCCTTGATATTGTAGGTTTTGAGCTAAACCACTCTTGAGCCTTCTATTTGGCCCTTTAGAGAAATCCAGAGGTGATGTCCAACCACGAGTTGTGCTGGTCTCAACTGTTGCATTATCCTCTCCACTCATGAACATTCTCTCGTGTTTCAAAATTTCTGCTTCAGAATGCAGTGGGAATAGTTTCTGCACAATGGGAGAGGATGAAGGAGACCTCTCTTCCAATGGATTACTGCTGTCTGAGGAGAAATATCTCCTAGAAGATCCCAATTTAGGTAGGCTGCCACCCTCAAGAGAGGAACTAAATAGTTGAAATGGTAAGCTTGGTCTAGATATGTGAACTTTGCAATCTGAAGTCTCTGTCGGAGATTGAGAGGTACTATTACTTCTCTCACCTCCAATTGAAGGGCACCCAGAAATTGGCTTCTTCTGTAAATGAAAACCACCAGCTTGGTCAAGGGAGTACAACTTACATTTATCATCATCACAACTTTTGCTATTTCTTTGAGAAAGAAGTGCAAATAGCATCAGGTGTAGCTGCTGCCAAAGTAGTCGATAGAACAACAAGCAAGTCCATGGTAGAGGGAACAGGTGTATTTCCATTTGTTTTATTCAAGTTGTCTGAAGAAGCTTCTTGTGAAACATTCAAGTCAAAACTACAAGGTACAGACAATCTTGAAGCAGAATTTTCAGAGAAGGGCAAAGCGTTAATCTTGTTAAGAATCTGAATAAGTCGTTCTCTATCTGGAGTTGACAGACCATTGGCACTTTTGTCCACATTGTTACTTGTGATTGCAATGATAATTGGATCAAGCAAAATCCTATGGGATGTCAAGAACTATTAACACCATGAGAAAGTTCATCTTACCTTGAAGCTGAGATAAAATAGTTAATAGATTAACAGCATCCAAATTCCCACTACCAGAATCTTCTAGGTTTCCAAGCACCAACAGCCGAGATAAAATAGTTGCTCTCTCTCTCCATCTGCAAGTAACATAAAACAGAGGAAATCAGGAAGAAGAAAAGGGAAGGGGAAGAAGAAAGATCAGGGGAGAGAGAAGGAAGACTTCGGAAGTCCATCATTGTTTGTGTATCGTGAGATCGAAAAAGATGAACAATATTTTTTTTCGAATAGTTATTACAAAGGTAATATGGGGATTAAAAAATATTGCAGGCAGATTTCAACCGAAGGCTAACAGAAAAGGGTTTTTGTCTCACAGTCATAATATAGGGGGGTTTTGTTACAAAACAATGTACAGGGTGTCTTTGTCACAGAACCCCATATTACAAGGGTCTTTGTAATTTACCCTAATTTATATTATACCCAACTATATATTTCTTCTTCTTCCCCCTCCTATATAAAAAATTAAAAACCCAGAAATGGTTCCCGGCAGCGAGAGAGCAAGCGCTCCTCTGAAGACCTGAGGCTTGCTGTAGCCTGTACCACCGAAACAGGGATTGGATAATTCTTCAATTTTACGTTCGATTCTTTCAATCTATCTGTTCCCTTTAACGCCTTCTCTTTGTCTTTTATTTTTTTTTCCTTTTTCTCTTCTCTTTATTTTGTTTGTTGCAGGTTGAACTAAAGCCAATGGCTGCCGGTAATTCCTCCTCCAGAAGAAAATCTTCGTCATCTCACAAGAAGAAGCACGTTAAGCCTTCCTCCGAGGTCTTCTATTGCTCTCTTTCTCTCTGTCTTCCATAATTTTGTTTTCTTTTAGGGTTTTTTCTGATTTAATTTTACGATTCTAGATTCGGGATTGGTTTTTTTCTTTCGTTATGTGCGTTGTCTACTTCTTACTTATTTATTTATTTATTTTTTTTCATTTGCCCGTATTTGGCTTCTGAAGTATGAATTGGGTCTGAGATTCTGATATGGGTTTATTTGTTATTTGATGTCCATCCTCGCTTTCGACATATCTCTCTTATATCAATTGTTTAGGTCCGAAAGAGGAGTAGGAGTAGAAAGAGAGATAAGGCTAAGAAGCTTCGTCGTCGTGATGTTTCGCTTTCTTCGTCGGATGACGATTCAAGGAGCGAGGATTTCCTGTCTGTTTATTCATCTGATTCGGAAGATGATTATAGAGGCAGGAGGGCTCGCTCTCGCACTCGAAGAGATGCGAAAGGGACAAGAAAGAGGGCCCGACGAAGCTCGTCAAGCCCTGAAGATGTCAGGGAATCACCCCATCGGAGGAAGAGAAAAGGGTCGATGCGAAATGGTAGATCTGAGGCAAAGAAGAAAACCTACCAAAGGAAACGTGTGAATGCACGCTCAAGGAGAGGTGCGAGTGTTAGTTCTATGAGTAGTGACTCGTTGAGTTGTTCAACCTGTCGGGGTGGAAGTAGTGGCAGTTGGGAGAGCGAATGTGATAGGCCAAGAGGCAGGTCTGAAGGAAGAGAGAAGGATAAGAGAAATTCGAGGAGGAGTGATGGAAGAAGCAAAAGCGGATATAGGTCCAGGAGTCGTTCTTCATGCAGTGGTTGCAGCAATCAATGTAGTTATGAAGATGACAGATGGATGGGTGAGAATTCTTCTAGGCGTCTTAAATCTGTTCTTAATGTTACAACACAATCAAAGGAAATGGAGGAAAAAGAGAGGAATTGGGATGAGAATAGGGTGGAGATTATTCAGGCTTATGATGACTGCCCTTCTTCCAGAAGCAATGACAGTTGTGATGGGGGCAGAAAGAAGGAGTCAGCTTACCACCCACATATTGTGCCTGAGAAGAAGAGGCGGATAGATGATGCAAACAGGGAAGACACTTATATTTCCAAAATTAGGAATACTGAAACTGGAGGGAGTAGTAAAGAGGATAGCAGGGCTCAAAATGATATTAGAGGTCCTACCTTACCCATGGTTGGGTCAACCAAGGATTTGACAGTGAATAAGAATGAGTTTTCTGCTGGCACTGATATCACCAAGGGTGATGATTTGGAGTCACTTTTAAGACTAAAGGCATTGGAAAATCTAAGAAAATTTCGTAGGGTGTTACACAATAACAAAAAAGCACCTCAGAAAGATGAAATTGCTATTGAAGGCAAACAGTCACCAATTACAAAGGCTGATTCCACCCAAAATGAGTCCCACAAGGCTGATTGTGGTAGACTACTAGGTGCAGGTAAAGTGGTAGCTAGCGTTAGCATACCACCAGTAGATAGAAAATCCATTAGTCCACAAAATGATGGACAAGTTTCTGATGACAGCTTCAAAGGACATAAATCCAACGCTAAACTGGATCCTGTTTGTCCAGCACCAAACAATTGTTCACCAGGTCAGACAGTTTTTGGTGGTAAAGTCACACAAATGAACAATATGATTGTCGGTGCCATTAATAACAAATCAGCTGCACCAGGTAATATAACATTTAGACAGGGAACTTCTGGTGGCAAATCCATCTTAAAGCCCACATCCACATCAGAGGAATCTCCCAGGGGGAAGTTGCCAGAGATAAAAGACAGTGCAGATAAAAGTGCTGCTGAGACCTCTAAAACTGTGCCTGAGAGTGGTAATATCCTTAAAGATGTTAACAAAGACTCTGCATTGTCTGCTCCTGGTACTTGCCTCAGTTCTACAACCGAAGAGCATGGCTTAAATGAAGCTCGGGATGAAGTTAAGGAGGGCTCCCAGTTTGAGAAAAAGACAATGTCCGTGATGCGTGGTGGTGAAATGGTGCAGGTAGGCTCTCTCTCCTTTCTCTCTCTCTCACACACGCACACACATACATACTGACAATATCTGTTTTTTTTTTTTAATCTGTAAATGTGGAATGACTGCATTGACTGTAGATACTACATCTACAGTTGTCAATGGGTTGGATCTGAGTTAGATGTATCTAGATCCAAGTTTTATCTAATCACTTAACTAATCATTGCATTTGTTGATTTATTTATGTCCTTGTTAGGTGAGCTACAAGGTTTACATTCCTAAGAAAATCCCAGCTTTGGCAAGGAGACAGCTTCAGCGATGAAGTTTGTGTAATATGTGTCCTTGAGAACATGTAGGATTTTGTATTTTCAGAATTCTACAGTCAAGGGTCATGACTCACCTTTTGCGGTTTTATTGTATTTGAAAGCACGTGCAGGATTGATTTGAAATGCATGGCATGTTAATCAGTGGAAAAGGAAGCTCAGTGATAAGGCATTTCTTTGGCCTTCTTTACAGGTCTGTTGTTTTTTGGTAAAAGGCCTTCTTTACATGCCTCGAAAGGTTAAAAGGTATGGTAAACCATAAAAACCAGTAGTATTTACCACTTGGGAATTTATTAGAGCGGTCTTTTCCATGGTTTTTTACTATAATGGAATAGATGTAAAAGATCATAGATTGTTGGACCCCATATTTCGTTTTTCTCTATTAAGTTGAGAGTTACAATTTGACGAGAGCTCTTGTTCAAAAACCCTGTACAACTTTGTAGAACTTTATTCGATTAATGAAATCATGTATGTTGGTTCATTTTTGGTGGTGAATTGTATGTTGGTTCATTGCAAATAGATAATAGATTTTCTGTTGTTTTATTGTTGGTAGAAAAGCTTGTTACCTATTATTCTTCTCTTTTCTTTTGGACCAAAATTCAAGGAATCCTAGCTTGTATGATGTTATCATTGAGCAACCTCCCGGAGAAAGACAATTGACTTTATATTTCGGTCATCTGTATTTCATTATTACTTTGGTTTCTTATGGACGCCCTTTTAAAAAACTTGTTAGAATGCATTATGGTTTGTGTAGAAATAGATGTGGTTACAATCAATGTTTAAACTGAGGTGCTAGGGTAGGACATGAAGCATAAAAGTTTTGTGGGATATCTTATTATTTCAACAAGAAAGCATGAACTAACATGAATTTAACTACCGATGTAATTTTCTTTTCCTGTAATGTTGTAAACTAATCATCGTTGTAAACTAATCATGAACTAACATGAATAAGGGAGAAAACAGAAGTTTGGGAGGAAAGCTCTTGAGGAATTTTGTGCCATAAGCTGTCCTCTAGGCTGAGCTTGGTGCTAACGTTGGGCCATCCACAGGAAAAGAAAATTCTCTAGGAATGTCCTTTAGTGTTCTGGGTAGCTTTGTCTTTTGAAGTTGATCAAAGTGAAAGCCCACCCTATATATTTTCTAATGGTGTTATATTTTTTTTTTTCCTTTTATCTTTCCTATTTAGTAAAGGGAAGAGGAGACAGGGTCTGGCTATGATTAGTTTCCGAAAGAAAATAGAATTTTGAATCCCTATTTGAACATGACAGGAGACGTTATGTATTCAGGTAAGATTTCTGTCGATATATAAAATTGGTTCCAATTGGACCAACCCATCTGTTATAAAATTCCTTCTTTTCTGTTATTTTGTTTTTTGTAGTGAAAGCCATCTGTTATAGAACTCAGATCCACCTTGATTTCTCAACAAAAAAAGTAGTTGTTTTTGGGAATTTCTAGTGGCTAGAATTTTCTTAGCCAGTGTTCATTTATTTAGGGGTGTGGCTCATTTAAGAACAAGCTGCAGTTAGTTCTGGAACACAAACGCGTCTGTTTGGCATCGTTGCCGTTGCTTCAAAAAACGGTGACACATCAGCGCCATGTCGGAAAAAAGGGTGCTCCAAGCATGGTTTTTAAAAACGAACCGGTTAGGGGTCTGGTTGTTGGTTTGAACGGTCTGACCGTTTGACTCAAATGGCTGGCTCATCTGATAAAAAATAAAAAAAAATTAAAAAATTGGAAAACGGTCAAAACCCTTTGAATGGTTAATTGGCTGGTTCAGCGGTTTGCTGATCAAAATCAACGGTTTGGGGGAAAAAAGCGGTTTTGGAGAAAAACAAAACTGGTCAATCGGTCAGGTGACCGGTTTCCGGTTTTTCTGGTCCGATCGTCTAGTCTGGTTTGGTTTTGAAAACAGTGGCTCCAAGCCATGCCTTAAAAATTGAGAAGACATTAGTTTGGAGCAATGCTGAATTTGGTGAGCTATAGCTCGTTGCTGCCAATAGGGACATGATGTGGCATTGGATAATAGGTATCAGTGCTGAAAACATTTCCTGGAGCATTAGTACCAAACAGAAAACGTTATTGTTGCAGCGTTTACTCTCGGAAACGTCCTACCTAGCAGCAACGTTTTCAAGCAAAAAAAAAGACTTTTTTTCAGAAAACGATACTGCCAAGGTCCAACCCACACATCAGCAGAACCGTTGCATCTGTAGCATCGATGCCAAACATATACAAAATCTCGTGCATAGCTCAATTTGGCACACAAAATCTCGTGCCAGCCTAGTCCCACCGATCTCTGATTATAAAATGTAACACACCCCTCTATCTTTATCTCTGATTCATTGCTTCTCACTTCTATTTGTACTACTTTTTATTGACCTTTGTAAGCTTTTGTAATTTGATCTATTTTTTATTAAATGTACTGGAGTTATAATTTTTATATATTAGATTTATTTATATATATATATATATATATATATATGTTAGATGTACTTAAATAATTTTTTATTACATTTATTTATATTATTTTGAATTATGTTTAATTATTTTGTGATGCTTTATTTATATAAATTAATTTTAAAATTTCTTTTCAGATTAATCGTAAAATGTAACTCATGCATAGCATATTGAAAATATATGTATTGATGCCTGAGCAATGGTATTGGTGATATTGTCCTTTTCTTCAATATCATGGACAATATCATCAATTAGGAACTCGTGGACATGAAGAAAAGTGTGAAAATCCCATGCTTTAAGCGGTCATCCTTGTTCATAATTGAAGAAAATTGATGATATTGTCCATGCTTAATTCTACGTTCGAAAATACTAAGAATTCCAAGCATTTGCATGATTGCAATATTGATTGCATCGTGATTTGTGAGACAAATGATCATTGGCGTGAACAGGGGAACGACAGAACCAATGCACAATTTCATATATAAACTACATTATTTCAAATTTATACAAATTATTCATACCTAGGAGAAAAAAAGTACATCTTCAGGAAGCAGATTCAGTGAACGCAAACACATTTCCAATGGATCCTTAGAAAGAATTACAATGAAATACAGCAGCTAATTTAAAAGTACGATAACAGATATATTGGAAAAGGAGTTTGTGAAAATTCCATGCTTTAAATTGTTCATTGGGATCTTGGCATGCATGGATAGGAAAGAGGATGACCGGATGAGCTTGACACAGAAGAACTGCTGAACACGCCATAAGCAGTTCTCGCCTATACATTGCAAAACATTAGTGAGAATGTTGGAAAGCTGCAGCTGTGCCAACCGCCAAGTCAATCGACATGGTCTAGGAATGTACTGAAACTGAACCTCATATGGTGGGAATTAGTGCTGTCAATCAGTAAAACCAAACCATTCTTCCACAGTTCCAACTTCCACGTCGTGTTCAAATAAAGCCTAGATGAAATCTTCAGCTGTATTTGGTAATCCTTTTTCTTCCGCTGAGGCAGGCCCAGCCATCCATCTCCGACACTGACATACCTTCCAAGAACTGCATATATCGTCCTTCAATTTGTGGAAGCTGCTTTTAAAAAAAATAATAAAATGACATCAGGAACTGCATATATCCAACGTTTGTTGGATGTGTACCACATGAAATCAGTGGGGAATGGCTCCTTGAGCACCTAGCCTCCTATTAAAGGAACGGGATCTTCTCCTCACACTTGGGCGCCTCACATGCACATCCACCGTGCATTGGGAACATCTCCCGTGAAAAATAACTTACAAGTACGGGAGATGATCCCAATGCATGGTAGGATGTGCGTGTGAGGAGTAGATCCGGTCTCCCTATTAAAGCATTTACCCGGATTTGTTTATTAACGTTTTTTGATCAAATACAAATGGGAATTCTGCATGGTGGATACCTGCTCAGATAAGATTCCAGATACACCGACCACTGCTCCAGGCTTGGCATAAGAAACAATATGATCTGCCATTTCCATTAGAGGATTTAAAAGTATATTTGCCATGACAATATCAAACTTTTCTTTTTCAGCAACGAGTCGTATGCCATGTGAGCTCTGTCCTTTCACATTTCCATCCGTAGTTCCAACTGCAGAAAGAGGATTGCCCATGCTATCGACCAGACATAATTGCATTTCCTGAGGTCCTACGTTGTTCAGAGCAGCATTCTGAAGTGCAGATCTTATCGCCTGGGGATCTACATCAACTCCGACTGATAAGGCAGCACCTAACTGCATTTTGACATTCATCTGGTGAAAATGACTGTTTCAAGCTGCTTCAGATTATTCGGGGGGGCAACACAAGTAGGAGAAATGTACAAAGGGATTGAGCCCAAAAGCTATGGCAAAGTTTTCTGGATGGGTGAACAGGGCCGCACAGTTTGATGTAATGAGAAATTCAAGCCCAATGGCAATAAGTAGCTGGAAGCTGGTCTAGAAGTACTTCAATCACCCCGAGTTTTAGACTTGAGGGAAAACCAACAGAGAAACCACCTGAATGGTGCTAATCTAGGAAATCCAAAAGTTTGAACTCTGAAAAGCACATTTTTATTCAAAATTGTAACCCTATTCTATAACAGCAAATGCACTGGACTTCAAGGCTGCATTTTGGTTGGATGTAGGATATTGTGAAGATGGTTATATTGGGAAAAGACTAATTTGTTAGTTTTTTATTGTTAGTATATATGAGAGGAAGCAAGATTTTATCAAGATGTAGAGTGAAAAACAATGCAAAATGACTTTGTACAGATCTAGAAGGCAAATCATTTTGCTTGGAGTCTTCAACGAGATAGTTTGTTTAACTTTTGAGAGTCTTATAGATAACAGTTTCTTCAAAGCACTAACATCTATGCAAGCTTTAATTTCATACAACACTCTCATCCACCTAACCCTACAATCTAGCTGTTTACTCTTTTTTTTTTCCTTTCTGTTTGCTTGCTATCATAATTCTCAAATTGATTCTTATAAAGAAAATCACCCAAAAACTAAAACAACATAAACTAGCTTCCAAAAGCAATTCCTACCAATAAATTCCAACCTACTTCAATTTCTTCATCATCAACATAACTGAGAATTTGCTCAAATGACATTCAAAACTATGATACTGGACTTATTAATGATGCCAAAATTCAAGCTAAATGATCAAAATTTGATCAGATGAGAAGATATGTGCCAAATATATGATGGTTCAACATCTTTAAAATTTCCTTCTTTCTCTGCATCTTTCTTGCATAGAATTTTTACTTTCTAGAGAATTTTCCCACACATTCATGCATTATCACATCTTGCCATGTAATATAGGCTCTAATATTAGAACCTCTAGGGGGAAGAATGGGTCCAAATTCATGGTGGAGAAATACTTAAGTCCAATGGCTAGTAATGTTCCATGTTTTCATCAGGAGGTGGGAAATAGTTGTGAATTAGTGGGTTGAAATTTTTTTTCATGTGGTAATAAAGCATATCACAGGCAAGCTTCCTATGCAAGTTTTATTAGGATATAGTACAACCATAGTTGTCAAGACAATAAATTGAAACAACTAGAAACATTAACAAAGAAGAATCAAACATCACGTAACCTATGAAATAACTAGGAGATGAGGCCCTATTTTGTTAATGCAGGAGATACAGATAACGTGCATGTGTCTGTTAGTATTAAATAAAAGAATGAAAAGAAAAAAACAATTTAAAGATGTTATTTGAATATAACAGAGTGATATAAAGGATAGAGAGTGTATATGAGTATGATAATTACAAAAAAAATAAATAAAGGAATATATGAAGGGTTGGAGAGCCAAAGAACCTGTTTTGGTTGCAGCTAAAAGGATAAAGAGGAGTTATGTAGGATTTAAAAGAAAGAACAAATGAAGAGGCAAAGCCCTTGATTTTCCACAGAGGAGAAGAGATGTGGCTTGTTTAGTTCATTGGAATTGAGAAAGAAGTAGAAGCCTCTTGTGAAAATTTCATGAAGGTTACTAGTTGAAGCTTTACTGAGTGAACATATTGCTTTCCCATTGTCATTGTGGTTTGCCCTAAATATATGTCAATCTTTTCTTGTTTTTTTTTTCTAAAAATAATTATCTTCTGAAAGCATCTTTTTTTTAATAAATTCTGAAAACATCTTTTTCATAGTCACACTTTTGGGATCCCCTTTAGGCTGGTATTAGCTTTCTATAAAGACAATGCTGATTAAACTAAATAGATTGAACAATGCTAAATTTCTTGGATAAGCTTTCTTAAGTTCTAATTCAATTGTTTAAAACAGAAATCTAAAAAGTGTTACCTTTAGTGCTGCAATTCCAAGAATTCCAGAACCAGTTCCATAGTCCAAAAAAAATTCTCCTCCTTTTATCAAGCTATACAACAGCACCAAACACAATTTAGTTGTAGGGTGGTCCCCAGTTCCAAATGCCAATCCTGGATTAAGAATAATATTTGTTGCTTGAGCATCCTGTAGCAGAATATACAAACACAATTATGTATAATTCAAATGACAATAATAGACAATATAGACAGTGAAGTTCAAATTTACTTCAGTGTGCAGAATATAATTTGGGTGGACATGGTCCACATGGATAGGAAGATGCAAATCCAACCAAAATCAAAGCACCATATATGATCAACATTGGGAAGGTAAGTTATATCTCAGAAATGAAGTATATGATCAACATTAGGAAGATGCAAATCCAGCCAAAAGTAAAGCACCCTATATGATCAACATTAACAAGGTAAGTGATATCTCAGAAACAAAGTAGATAATCAGATAGGTACAACTGGGTCTTTCACTTTTTCCTGAACAAGTTTTGGATCTTCTGCAACAGTGGCATTGCAAAGGCCTAGGAAGCAGGGGTAAGATCTATTGGAGCACAGTGATCCATGCAATGATGTGGGGTGTTTGGGGAAGAAAGGAACATCAGAACTTCTGAAAACAAAACCAGGAATACCGAAAACCTGATCTCTCACATTACTTTCTTATGCAACATTTGGGTTATTAATTCTGAAGTTTTCAAAGGTATTTCCCTAAATGACCTACAGAGTAATTTAGCATAAATCCTCTACTCCTCTCCAGGAAATGTTTTTACTCAAACAATCCGTTCTAGTGAGGAGGATCTGATAACTCTAAGTTTTGACAGTAGTGCCAAAGGATCTACAGTCCAAGAAGGAATTAGAGGAGTAATCCATGGGACAGGGGGGAACATCTTTTGGGCTTTCAATGGACCGATTGGGAGAGCTGGTGCTACCAAGGCAGAGATCTTAGTTGCTCTTACAGGTCTTTGTTGTGTTAAAATGTTAGGCCTTTCCTCTCTATCCATCGAAGGTGACTAGGGGATGATGGTTCGGTTAACCAAACCGTGGGGCTTTTTTTGGAACCGAACCGGTACTACCGTTTTTTTGGAAAACCGGTAACCGGAACCGAACCAAAGCCAGTCGGTTAACCAGTTGACCAGTTCGGTTAACCATCGGTTCGGTTCATTGGTTTTTTGGTTTTTTAATTTTTACAATATATATTATAAAAATATATATAAATATATAATAAAAATTATAAATATATAAAATATTATATTATAAATATATATTTCTATGTATAATGCATATTTATTAATTTATAATATATAAAATATATAGAAATATATGTATACTGGTTGGTTCGGTTAACTGCCAGTTTTCTATATTGGTTAACTGAAACCGAACCAGTACCTTTGGTTTTTTAAAAACACCGAAACAACCGGTTCAGTTAACCGTTTTTCGGTTCAGTTTCGGTCAGTTTTTTCAGTTGGTTCGGTTTTTCGGTTTTTTTTTTTGCTCACCCGTAAAGGTGACTCTGCTAAGACAATGAATTAGCTAAGGCAGAAGAGCGGAGGACCTTGGAGGCTTGCTCATCTGCTGACCAAAGCTAGAGATATTTTGGCCTCTCTGAGTGTGAAGTTAGTTTGGATTCCTAGGGAACTAAACACTGTAGCTGATACTTCTTTGCCTTTGTAGTTCTATTTGTGCCTTCTAAGGCTCTTGTACTCTGTTAACTTTTAATAAATCTCAGTTAATCTTTCTCAAAAAATCAGATACAGGTAATCTGATTATCTACGCAGTAAAGCTTCTGAAAGTAAATTGAATATAACCAGATTGATCACAAAAATTTTTTCAGAAACTCTAGAAGCAATTGAGAAAGAAATCAACTTCCAAAATTGATAATTCTCAAGTATAATCAACAACCACAGCAAGAGAACCTCAAAAACGTATAAGAGAGTTAAGTAGTTAACCATACTGGGGGAGTTCTCCATTCTGGCACTATCCAAAGATCCTCAGATATTTTCACAGGATGAAATGATTCCTGTAACATATGAAGAAAAAGTTAGAGTTGAAATATTTGAGGTTAAATATAGCATAGATGCAAGTATGACACTTGTTAGGATCTAATGGAGAATTTTATAGAAGATAAAACATAATAGATACTGGTAAAAAATAAAGAAATATACCATACAATAGGAAAATAAAATAAATCTTTCATTTCAGAGAGCGAACTGTTTCTAATATTGATTAAAATAAAAGATAATGAAAAAAAAAAACAGGAAAAGAAAGAAAAAACATACATTAACAACCAAACAAAAAGTCAAACGATACAAACCAAAAAAGACAAAAAAAAAAAAAAAAAAAAAAAACTATAGAGATGATTGGACTCTGGAAACAGTTTAATCACAAGATGTATTATGGGCCTATAAGAATGAGTTAAAAAATTTAAATTGCTAATGAGAAGCATGGAGGCAAAGCTTCAATTGGTACAAAGGGCAGAAAATAGTTTTGCAGATAACCTAGCAAAGCAAGAGGTGGAAGGGATCAAATGTTTTGGGCAAAGTTGTAAGAACATAATGGGGAAGATTAGAAGTTTTATCTCCATCCAAATGATTGTATACCTGTACACTTTAATGGTTCATTATTAATTGACAGTTACTGATAAAAAAAAATTGACTCCATGAACCCACAGTGCAACCTTACCATCTCTGGTAAAGTTCAAAATGAAACAAATAGTGCATCTTTTCATGATACAAGAAATTAGTGAGGATGGTCAATAAAATTCTCCCAGTAAAAAGATTGTAACTTAAGAAATGAAAAAAGAAAATTAATAACATAGAATCCAAATCCTTTACCAATGCTAGCAGATAACTGGAAGGGAATTAGTTTTTATCGAGGTTGTCAGACTCGGACTGGATACAACCATTTGGGTCACTGGGTCACAGGTTGAATGGTTTGGCCATTAATCTTGTTTAAATAAAAAAGAAAAAAATGGAAAATAAAAACTAGCAAACACTTCCAGATTATCTTTCAAAGCTATTTTATACCAAAACAAGTCAAACAATAAATATTATGGGTTATAAGAGGTATTTGCACATTTATACCAAAACAAGTCAACATCCGGTGCACTAAATTTCTAAATCTTGTTTCACCATACACTAGAGTAGAGCTGTGTTTTCTGAAGTATAAGTTGAATATCAGTCTATCAGGACAAGGAAGCATCAATAATTCCATATCTGAAGATCAATATGAATCACTAAAGGATGTTGATAAGCCTGGCATGTGTAACTAAGAAAATAATAAAAGAAAGGAAGACATTCAAATTAAATGAACTGTATAGTGTATACATAGTCATTAAGAAATTAAAATAAAGAGAGATGAAACAATCAATAGATATTAACAGATAAAGAACATATTGCAAGACATACTGAGGTATGTATTAACCTGTGTTTTCTTTATCCAGTCACAGTGCTCACCCATTGTGACTACATAACTAGGCATATCTTTCAACCCAATTGAGCCAGCAGCATTTGAAATACATGCACCCACATCTTGGCATTCTGTAAATATGGAATTTATGCTGATCTGCAGGAACATCATTTACAAATCAAACAGAATCAGGTACAATGCTTTTGAGTGAGGAATTCTGGGGAAGGAGAGATCACAGCAGACAATTCAGCTTCTCTGAAGTGGTAACATCCTTTCTTCTTTCCTTTCCTTTTCTTTCTTGTGGGTTCAGTCTCATCATTAACCCAATAAAAGCTTCATTGAAATTCCACTTCTAGTTATTTGTTATCTGAGTGGTGTGTACCACATGCATACATTTAACCCAAGTCAAGGGAGTGTTGTTGTTCCTGGACTCCATTTCATCAATCTTTGGATTGTAATTCCTCCTGCCAATTTATTCTGGAGCTTTTCACTTTTAAATTTCTTCTTCCAGTCAGTTTTCTTCTCCAAAGAGACCCTTGTAATCCTCCCTTCTCTTTGTGGGAAACAATGTGAGAGAGGAGGGAAGAGTGAGCCAGTAGCCCATGGACCAGATAATCCAAAATGGCCTTCTGTGGGCCCTGGTCCACGCCAGGATGGGCTTGGACAGAAGATCTAGCAGCAGGCCCATAATTTTATAGGCAAGGCCTTCTGGGGTAGGCTAGCAATGATCACTCCTAGTCAGAATTCAGGGCTATCCCCAATATATGCTAGTGTGATATACAGAGCAGCCCAGTGAACGAGGCTCATACCAATGTGGGGTCTGTGGAGGGACAGATATATGTAGCTTTATCCCTGGAGATACACAGAGAGGCTGTTTCCAAGATTTGAACCCTGGTCACCCAGGTCACAATGGAGCAACCTAACAGTTGCGCTTAAGACCACCCTCTAGTGTGATATCCTTTCCTTAATGGGTAAATCTAGATAATGCCAATTACAAGTTAACCCTGTTTAAGTTGTTAATTCTAACAGTCAAACTAACTCATGTTAGAAGCCATCAACTTCAAGGTAAAGATGCGCACATGCACATATTATTATCCAATCTATTGAAATTCCTAGTTCCGTAGCATGAGTAGGTCACTTATAATATAAAGAACAGGAGTAGGTCATCTGGATGATTTCCAGCATATGCATAGGGATGCTTGACATGTTGTACAGAACTCATTCTTTTGTATGACCTAATAAAGCTTTAACAGTTACCGATATCAAAAAAGATTATGGGTATAATTAAAAAGAACAAAATCAATAAAGGGAAATGATAAATATCTATCAAAAAAATAAAGGGAAATGATAAATGTAGGTTACTCTTTTCATAAAGAAGGGTGCTGAAAAGAAATGATATATTATCTAATGGGCATACCTCATCAGTACTATCACAATCATCTGGTTCGTCCATGCTAGCAGAGCTAGCACCAAAGCATAGGAGAGCATCTGAAAGCATATCCTGGCCAATGGAGAGTTTGTTAGACAGTTCAGAATTGCGTATTATTAAGGAGCTGAGATGAATAAATAGTCTTTAAATGATAACAACATGAATATTCAGTGAGGGAGTAAGTTTGGTGACTGAATTGAGGCATGTCAAGAACCATGGTAAAGAAGATTGCAAGAAATAACCAGTTCAAAGAGGACAATAAGCCCATGTAAAACTTATAACTATTGAACAAACAAAAACAATTACAAATATGTTGTTGTATCTTATTAGTTACTGTTGCAATAGTTTTTAATTTCTTGCATTTTTTTTCTGTAGCGCACTTCAGCTCTATCTTATTAGTTACTGTTGCAATATTTTTAGTCCAATTTTTTCATATTATGGCCTTCTTGCTAGTATAACATAACGATACAACACATGAAGTATACAAGCATGAGTAAATTAAATGAGTTCTCCTGTGTGACAGTGTGGCTGCCTGAGGAATAGACGAACATCAGTTTACGCTAACATATTTCCATTTGTTTCTTTTAAAATTTAAATACTTTGGACTCCAACAAACATCCATGTCACGTTTCAGCTAACAAAAAGAATCATAAGCACAAATAGAGTACAGTTCTTACGATTTGGGTAAGAAATTAAAGGAACCCTCGAGGTAGTCGACTCCGTCCAGGAAAGAGAAAAATCAAAAGAAAAACAAGGCACCCTCCACCTCCAGGATATGGGAAGGACCACAAAACACCATATCAAACAAAGATTTAGTCGTAGAATGCACTTGATGAGTTCTCGTGCAAACTTCATAGTTAAATGCTTCATAGAGGTCAACCGATTAAGCATTTAGTTTTGAAATGCAACTTGGTTTCAGACTCAATTCCATAACCACATGGTGGAAGAAAGGAAGCTGTTTGCAACCACCTTCCTTTAATCGAACTCGAATAACAGACAGCATAGTTATACAACATCACAAGTTATCAATCTTTAGGCAGTGAATTAATAACGAGACTTTCCAACAAACATGAGGAAGAAAAAGAAGAAGAAAAAGAAAGCAAATATGTGCATTCTCGGAAACCTGAAGAAGAGAGAAGCTCACCGCAACATCTTTTCGACAACGAATGCGAACAGACAGGTAACTTGAAGCCGATGCTTCATTGGTCGAAGCTTCAGAAGAGGTCGAAAAGCTGGCAAGCAAGGGACTAAGGCACCGCCACTCTTTGGCTTGGCCGCTTATCCGGGGAGCCGGTAAGAAATGACCGAGTGTAGAGAGAGAAGGAAGGAGAGCACTCGTAGGGCGAACTAACTGGAGAGATGGAATGTAGAAGGTGGTAGAGCAAGTGTAAACGCGTCTGAACAACAAATTTCGCAGGGAAGCCATCAACATTCTTGCTTGCACTGTCGCCAGTCCAGGTCTCCCGGTGAATCGGTGGTGACTGAAATTCCGACCCACTCTGAAAGCTCTGAGGATGTATCTAAAATCTAAAGCACCGATACGATTTTCAGTTGGAGTGGCGAACTATGACCTAGGCCCAGGCCCATCGCTTGGTTGGGTAATTTGGTCCGGATTCCAGAGTCAATGGACCTGGACTGGATTTTCGACATACTTGTGCTTTTCACTTTGGTACGGACTACGAAACCTTTATCTCCACCATCGAATCCCTCCTTTCTCTAATAACCAGCGTTAAGGCGTTGTTTGGTTTGAGGAAGTAATTTTTGAAATTATAACTTTACCTCAACTTTCTGCAAGTAGTTTTGTGGATTTTTCTTTTTATTAGGCTCAAAATAGTATCTGTTAATTTGAATATGAATCCATCTCTATTAAATCTAATATAATTCAATTTAAATACATATACAGTTAAGTAATAAAAAAAAATTAAGTGTTAATAATTTAACAACAAAAACGACATTCACAAAATTGAATGGTGAAACAAGATTCATCTAGCGTCTGTTTCGCATCGATGTCGTTGCTTCAGAAAACAGCGATACATAATCGTTACATCGGAAAAAATGGTGTTTAAGGAAACGTCTATCTGTTTGGAATCGTTTTTCCATAAGAAACTGTATTACAAGCCACGCCTTGGAAATCGAGAAATGATGACTTAGAGCAATGCCGAACTTGGTGTCTGTTTGGCATCGATGTTGTTGCTCCAGAAAACGGTGACACATCAGCGCCACATCGAAAAAAATGGTGCTTCAGGAAACACATGTTGTTTGGAACCGTTTTTCTATAAAAAATGGTGCTCTAAGCCATGCCTTGGAAATTGAGAAGGCATAGTTAGAGTAACGCCGAATTTAGTGTTTCCTGGAACTGCAGCTCGTTACTTCCAACAGGGACATGAGGTGGCAATGACAAGGACATGAGATGGCACTGGATAATAGGTATCAGTGCTGAAGCTGAAAACATTTCCTGGAGCATTGGTACCAAATAGAAAACATTGTTGTTGCTCCAGGAAACGTACTACCTGGCAATAACGTTTCCAAACAAAAACAAGAAACCGTTTTCTCATAAAACAGTGCTTCCAACCCACACATCAGTAGCACCATTTTCTGGATCTGCAGCATCGATGCCAAACATATATACTTGGTGTTTCCTGGAGCTACTGCAACTCATTGCTACCAATAGGGACATGAGGTGATAGTGATAGGGACATGACGCGGCATTGGATAATAGGTAACAGTGTTGAAAACGTTTCCTGGAGCATTGGTACCAAACAGAAAAAGTTGTTGTTGCTCCAAAAAACGTTAGTTTCCAAACAAAAAAAAAACACCGTTTTCTGAGAAAATAGTGCTTCCAACCCACATATCAGCAGCAAAAAACAGTGTTGTATCTGCAGACTGAGTTAGAAGCACCATTTTCTCATAAAACAGTGCCTTTTTTTTGTTTGGAATCGTTGCTGCCAGGTAGGACATTTCCTAGAGCAACTTCTTTTTCTGTTTGGTACCAATGTTCCAGGAGACGTTTTCTACACTTCTACCCATTATCTAGTGCCACATCACTGTCCTATTGGTAGCAACGAGCTGCAACTCCAGAAAACACCAAATTTAATATTGCTCCAAGCCATGCCTTTCCAATTTCTAAGTCATGACTTAGAACACCATTTTCTATGGAAAAACAATTCCAAACAGACTATTTCTTGGAGCACCATTTTTTTCTATATGATACCATTTTCTGGAGCAACGGCAACGGTTCCAAACAGACGCCTAGTCAATCCCATGTAGTTGGGATTAGACATAACGATGATGCTTATTATAGATACTTACACTCTATGATTCTATCCATTAGTAAAGTCAATTCTAATGTTGTGTTTGTATTAAAGAATCGTTGGTTCGAGTTTCATTAAATGCATTTTCAATATACATTGTTCATGATATACAATTCTCGGAGTAATTTTTACTAACATTGCAAACTCAATCTCATAATTGCTCATTACTATTGGTTGTTTCGTAAAAAATTATATATTTATACTAGGAAGGTTTTTAAAAACGAACCGGAAACAGAACCGGCCAGGGGATCGGTTTCCCATTAAGCAGTTCAACCGTCTGAGTTAAATGGTTCTACCTGTGATGTCATAAATAAATTAAAATAAAAAATATATTTATAAATAATAAAAACAGAATAAATACAGGAAAATACAGAAAAATAAAGACAAAAAATAAAATTATCTAAATACAAAAATAACAAAATATATAACAAATAGAAAATAAAAAAATACAGAATTTTACTCTCTGTTCTCCCTTCTTCTTCTTCACTGCGATAAAGAGTAGAGCTGGCAGTCTCTATTCTAAAGATGAAGAAAGTTAAAAAAAACAATAAAATTAATAAATTAATAAATAAAAGCAAGAGTACGAGGGAAAATGAAAATGAGAACAAGAATAAGGGAAAATAAATAGAGAGGTGGAAAGGGGAGGAGAAGCAGCGACACTGTTCTCGCTGCTCGCGAAGCAGAGTAGATGTGCTCCTTCGAAAACAAAAGCAATAGTTTTGAGAGAACTTATGTAAAATCGTCGTCCACCGCTGCAAAATCGCCAGCCGCCGCTGCCCTTGTTTCTCCTTGCTGTTGATGATAAGAAGGAAATCTGCCACTGCTCCTTGTTGCTCACCGTCGTAGATGAAGCCCTTTTGAGGAAGGAAATCCAGATGACAGTCGCCGGTCGTCATGATTCACCTTTGATCGACATTGGTCGTGGCTGTCGCAGGTCATTGGGTGCACCATCGGAGTATGAGAAGGAAGACTGGAACTTGGAAGGGTTAGAAGTTACTTTCGTTCTAACCCTAACTCGTAAGGGAGAATCTAGGATATGAATGGATTTTTTTTTTTAAATCGGACGAAAATAAATTTTGCCTACCCGCAAATCGCTGCCCGGGTCAAACGGTTTAGTGGTTCGTCCGCCCGGGTCAGCGATTTTTTGACTTTTTCAACGATTATTACTAAATAACAGTTTATAGTATAACCGGACCCGGGGGGCTGAACGTTATCGGTTTTTCCGGTCCGGTCCGATTTTGAAAACCATGCTAGGAAGAGGGGAAAATAAACCTAGATTCCTAGAAGGTTGCTGTCCTGATTATGGATGGAGGCAATGCTATAGCAAGTTCATTATTTTTGTATTTTGAAAATAAAATAATGTTGAATGGTGCATTCTCAAAATCAAGGAAAATATTGGAAAATTCTTTTTTATTATATTAGAAACTTATTTTAATATAAAAACTAAATACAAAAATAAATTCATATTATGTTTGAATGCCTAATCATATTAAAAAGAACCCAGAATTGAAGGGTACTTTGTGGCAAAACAGAGCTTTGGGGGATAATGTAACACCCCCCTAGTCTAACATGCTTTCATAGCCACATTTTTCTAGCTATCCAAATGCAAACATATTAAAAAAAGGCTATCCAAAAGAATGTCATGGTTCTCAATTGAACTAGTTTAAATTTATTTTATTTTATTTTTATATTAGCAGGGACCCGTGCGATGTATAGATCAGTCAATTTTGGTAAAATAATTTTTCAATCCAATTAGGTTGGATTAGTTTTGGTTTGGCCATTTGTAAATCAACCAAAATCGAATTGACCCAATTGTAGATATTATTTGAAATTGAATCATAAGGAGCTTATCACATTTCCAATTAGGTCAAGCCAATTTGAGTCTATATTAGTTCTTGTTGTATTAAATAAAAGTAATTTAAAATTAATAAATATTAGTTTTAATCGAGACCAATGCAATGTACAAACTTTGTGAAGCAAAATTGAAGTAAAAGTATCCTTGTTACATTCCCAATTAGGCTAAAGCAATTTAACTCCAATCCAATTAATTAAATTTAAAAATAAATATTATTTAATAATTAATTAACTTTATTGATTAATTTTATAGGCTTATTAATGTAATTATTTTTAAATAGATTTTAAACTAATAAACACTGCATTTTTGTTTATTGTAAGTTTTAAAATTCCAATTTATTTTATTAACTATAAATTTATTAAATATTTATACCATAACTAAATCTACTTTCATATTTTTAGTGATATTTTTAATGATTATAGTATTATTAATAATTAATCACAAATGAAATTTAAAATTATAATGTTTGTGCTAATTTTTTTATAAATTTGTAATCCACGTTATAAATAATAATATATGGATTATTAATAAAATTAACATGTCAAAACCAATTAATCACAATTGTTGACCAAGTCAGCAGTTTCTGGCCAAGGACAGGGTTAATGGTGAAACAGAACCAATTGTCTGAATGATTTTCAGGCCAAACAGTTCGATCATCCGGGTCAAAAACTGTTCAAAAACACAAATGAACCCACCCCTAATCTAGTCCACACTGCCCTGGCAAAAGAGCAAAAGAAGAGATGTATAATTATTTCCTCATGAGTATTGAACAGAATACAGGATTTATCCAGTTCAGATAGGAAAGAATAGTTTTTCCTTTGTGTGAAGTCCATCCCATAGAACTTCCATAAGAATATTTGAAATCTGAATGGTACCTTAATCCTTTAAATACTGCTCAAGTCCTTCCCAGTAATTCCACTTCTACTCCATCTTTAATTTGCCATATCTAGCAATTTCTTGAGATGACTTGCACACTCAGAAGAGTTCACTTTTGCTACATCACTGTCATAGCGAAAACAGAAAATCATAGCCTTGAATGTAATACAGTGGCCCCATCAAGAAGTCATTTCATTTAATTCGAAGTGGGGCCATGACAATAAATCAAGGGCTTTGATTCAGTTGTTTCAGCACAGGGCCACGAACAGTGTCATAGCAAGTGTGGGTTGATTCAAAAATTGTTTCCATCATTCAGAATGGCCCTGTTTTAGTTTTTGAGGGAAAATAAGGGGAAGATTCCTGATCGGTACCCTTTATTTTAGGGGTGTCTCCAAAGCGAAAAGCTGCCATCTCGTCTGAAAGCAGAAAGCCCTTTCCGATGATGATGTTCCCAAGAGATGTGCTGTGGGAGGTTGTGGGGACGGGGGCGCCCCCAGATCTGAACTCTTGATGTCGATGCAAAATAAAACAAGTGCCTACTTCGAATCGTAATACTGGGCTGCGCCAACTACGACATATCACGTCAACTCGTACATGTAGGGCTCGCACATCAGGCTGACATGTCACGCCATAATTGACCCAGTATCCACCATTTAATCCGGAGAAAATAACAAATAAAAATATGACTCGAGGTTTTCTACAGCCAGAGTTCAGTTCTAGTCTTCTAGAGAACAAGTGCACATATTCCGAGGGAGATAGGTATTGTTTTTGGCTTTTTGCAGTGAATTGGAAGCTAGTAACTTGAGGCCCTTGAAGAATTAATAACTTCAATTTCATGTTGAAATCTTCCAATTGTTTGCTTTTATAAACTTCTAAGTAGTAAAGGATTTCCCTTGGAACAACAACAGTCTGGTGTGAGAGTTTTCGCTTTTTGATACCTTAACACCCCTCCCCCCTCCGGGAATAAAAAAAGAAATGCCATACATACATATGAACCCACCTTAAGAGGCTAAAATTGATAAGAGTGAAATACAACATACAGAAAAAAAGAATATGAATAAAAACTAGCCAAAAAAACAACACTATTGACCATCCTGATAATGATATATACATTAGATCATAACAGATATACAATATATAGGGGAAAAAAAAGAAAACAGAAACCGTTAATCCAAACATCATTTTAAAACCTCCTTAAATTGGACTCAAGTCTCGTGAAACCTGACCCTGCCACCTGCATCACAAACTAACTTCATATCATTTTTTGAACAATGCATTGGATACCATAATAAAGAAAACATCCCACTGACAAACCTTGCAATAAGGAACCGTGCTAGCGGGCTTAAATTTTGGTTCCCGGAGAGTTGTAGATGTTGTCTTTTCCGGTCCACGGCTTCTACATTTGCGTTTTCTGATTCTTCAGCAACTGTTTTGCCCTTTGTAAAGATGCGGGCAGCCATCTCCTGGAGTCCTTTCATTGTAGATTCTTTTGAGCTGCACAAAGTTTCCTCTCCAATTATTTAATATTTAAGTAAACAGAATGAACATAGAACCATTAAACTAGAGGACGTATGGTGACATTAAAGAACTTTGTGGACCTTCCAAGTCGTTGTAGCAACCTGCTGACAAGGACTTCACAAGAACCGGGTTTTAAATATTCCATCTCTACAAGTGAATCTACCACAGCACGTTGAATTGATCCATTGTCATCACCAACAACCTGCACATATAATAAACAATAACAGATTACAAGTGGTTATATATCGCAGGTTGAAGCAGAGGTGTTTCTTGAAAACATATGTTGAACATCCTACAAGTCGAGATTTTTGACAGTCACCACGTAGAAATCAGCCTTAGCACCAAAATGCACCTTACCAGGGTGCAAATATATTCCATTTCTGTGCAAAATGTGGGAGCCAGTCATTTAATAGCCCATGTCATGCTGCCAGCACCACCAATCATGCTATCAAAATGCCCCAGATCTTTTGTTCAGCCAAAGTTCCTAGCAAACATTTAATAATGATTGCTGCGATTTTATTAACATGTTTATCGATTCTGTTCTTTATCTTCCTTTTTTTGGGGGGGGAGGGGGGGGGGGGTGGGGGGGGGGGGGGTGGGGTGGGGTAAGGTGGAGGAATGGACAAGGAAAAAATACTGATGTTCTTTGGGGTTTAACTCAAGTCAACTCAACAAAACCTTGTCCCATCCGGGGTTGGCTAAAAAAATCTTGCTTTGCAAATTCACTCTATCAGTAGCCACATCCTATGTTATATTATGGGTAAGCTCTTTTTTCACTACATCACCCACATTTTTCAAGCTTTCCGCCTTTCCTCTAGTGCATTCAGAACCTTCAACTTCAAGCAGGTTACAATGACTGGAAGTCAATGAAAAGTTGATGGCATCACTTTGACCTTGTTCAACATAGAGCCCCAAGATACAATGATTTGTCCATACTTTTCACTACCCCATCCTCTTGCATCAAACATTGTTATGGAAACATAGGTAAAACACAATTAAATCTAATGTTTGACCATCAAGGAAATAATTTATGGCAACATAGTAAATTATCCACACAAGGATAAACAAGTGCTGCTAACAAAAGGAATGTACAAGAACAATGCCAGTGCCATTACCTTCGCCAGAAAGGATCTTTTAATTACAAAACAAAGTATTAACAAGGGTGTTTGTGTAAATATAGTGCTATTCTATTTTGAGGGGGAGGGGTGTTTGGGAAAAGCTTGCCTCTTTGGGAAGAACAGCCTAGGTTGTTTTGAAGCTTAATGTGCACGACACATCAGCATGGGTGTGGGGTAAAAGAGTAATTAAAAAGGCAAATATAAAACTGGATAACGTGCCTGCACAGGAAGCTCAAACATCCTAGGCAATTTTTCCAAATAGCCAAGCCAAACCCAGGGTGTTTAGGTTTGTTCCATGATTCAAAGGTTTGATGGAAGAAATAGTTGGTGACGCTAGCATTGCTCTCTTTATATGACATTATAATGAAAGACAAAGCAACTAATGCAAGGCTACCGCAAAGAACAAATTCGTGTTACATTGACACAACAAGGACATGGCAATATATGAGGTTTTTACATTGAAACAGACAAGGCACCAAATTTAAGCGTCCATGCAAACAAATAGACAAGTTGGTAATAAACAAATTCTATATTCACCTCTTTCAATGAAGGGATAAGCAAAACTGATAACGCAGGAGATGCTTCTGCTACTGCAGAAATTTTTGCATTTTCTTCATCACCACTTCCTTGACGAGATCTAGGAAGTTCTTTTTGTGCACCAAAGTACTGATGAGAATATCTGAAATATGTAATACTTCTTCTCAGAAATGATTCCATTTTTACTGCATCATCTGCTATTGTTAAACAGTTACAATTACCGACTAGCATGTCTGGAGCGGTAAACAATACCTAGAGGAAACAGAGTTATTTTCTGATTCTGTTATTTTACTTCCTTGCCGATCTTTATTGAGTTTGCCCAGTACAGACCTCTCCCGTGCGTTTGATTTCCTTAATCCGCCTTGAATAGCAGCCTTTGCCTGAAACACATACCAGATGAAGAGCTATTTACCTAAAATATTACACAATATAGATTGTCCATAACATAGAAAAGATAACAACCTCTGAAAGGTTTGTTGCACTATCTTCAAGTGATGCACTCAAAGACTTCTCCTGGATTCCCAATCTGGACTTTGGAGTTCGAGGAGAATCATAATCATCATGTTGGCCACGTAGAACAACAGTGCCAGTAGAAGATATATCCTCAAAGGAAGCACACCTGTTGCTAGACTACACAATAACACATCAAGATATGGGTAAGAAATTGTCCAGACAACCATATGCATGGCCATCCAAACTCAATTTCCAAATCATACCAAATTACTTTGATCACTAAATATGGATGATGCCTGCAATACCCTTGGAGATCGTACAACAACAGTGCCTGACTCACTCACTGAAAACTGCCCCTGTAAATTGAGCACATTAAATTACCATAAAGAAAAAGAGATGGAATGAAACTTATTAATGCGAAAGAGGGGGAAAATAATCAAAGAGAAAGTGAACCTTACATCTTCATGAAAATTCTCTTGTAACCCATCATCATGGTCACTATCATCATTCGCCAAGGAAACTTCTGATGATTCATGAACAGCACTTCCAGATGAAGATAACAATTGATCACTTCTTTCTGAAAATTTTTTAGTGGCACTCGGACCATATGAAGCTTCTGATTTCGTTTCTCTTGTTCCAGAAATTGGAGGTGGCTTTAAAGCACTACGGATAGTTCCCGTACCCTGAGGTCCACTCATGCTAAAGTCCCATCCAGCATTTTTTGGAGACATTCCATGACTAGATTAATTCAAACAAATTAGTAGAAAACAGAAATGTAAGAAGTAACCATGACTAGAACAATTAAACCAAGCCAATGGAAATCAGAATTGTAAGAAATGAAGATGCAATGATAATCTAAACCAAAGACACACCTAGCCCGAACAGTTTCTTCATCTCTCGGATCCCTGGAAACCTTCACAGTATCAGAGGCATTTCCAAATGCGTTAAGACCATTTCGTGGGGTTCCTGCCTCTTCCTTTGCTTGGTACTTTGGACGCTCCCTATCAAATAAACATAGAAAAAAATGAAGCAAAGTAAAATTCTAACAAATCTTCAGTCTGTAGGTTCAATGCATAACCATCCAACTCCAGTGCCAGAAAAAAGAAAAAGAAAAACCATTCAACTCCAATGAGATATTAATCACACTTTCCAAATACATGTTCTGGAAATCACTAATTGCAAAAGAACTCATTCACCTTATTCTTTCCAACAGCCTGGGGCTTTTTCTAGCATTCTTGATAAAACGATGCTTTAGAAGTTCCTTAGCACTAGGTCTCTGAAATGAAGACAGTAAAAGAAATAAAATTAGAATTTTAGATTACACCTTAATAATTATTCAGCATTTAACAGGGTTCCATTATCCATAAAAAAACTTCGTAGACATGTTATCTGGTTAACATATGATAAAAAATAGAGCTGCTTATTGATAGAGTAGTTCCATTAGGTCAAAAGACTGGAAGACTTTAATACACCCATTACAGATTTACAGTAACATACAGAACATAGATAGGCATATTCTAAGTAAATGAAAAGATGCCCAAGTAATAGTACTGGATCCAGTCATTTAAAAAATATCATATGCATTCGGGGCATACTTGGCTAAAAGGGCATATACCTAGTCCATAAAAAGATGGAAAACCTTTGCACTTGTTCTTTCCATAGGTGTTATTTGAAATAAAATGTGGACCCACAAATATTGTTCTTTTCATAGGATGTACTTGAAACAAGATGATGTGCATAAGAGGATTTCATAAACAGTATATTGAAAAAATAGTAAAGAAATATTAGATAACTGATTTTTTTTTGTCCAACTGTAGTAGCATATATTTGATATGTGAAGGAGAAATGTCTCTAGTAGCACTGAATTTCAGAACATGGCACACCTGTTATACATGTATTATTTTAAATTAAAAATATATGTGAATTTAAATGCACAATTGATCTCAACCACTTCAGAGATTGCAATGTCATGGGAAGATAAAGGAGAGGGGTACAAGATAGAAACATGATGGGAGACTAACACTGCAACAATAAAGAAAACAAAAAATCAAGACAATCTGCCAAAACAATAAAGGATAGAAATGTGCATTTATTCCTTAAGAGTTTATGTTCTAATTTCAACTATGCAATTAAAAAGTCTCCAACATGCATGGCACAACCATAATATATGTACCCAAATAATACCAAGCCAACCCAGAGTCCCAGACCAAAAAAAGTACATTACTTGGACTATCCATGCATATAATTGCTATTAAATGATTGAAAAATCCATATGATATACATCCATAATTCCGTATCCATCATGTGGCAGCAAGAAAAATATGTACCAAGTACAAAACAGCCATGCCCATATCAACTGCACCTAAAACTTTTCACCAAAAAAAAAAGAAAAACAAAAAACATATTGAAAAGTATAATTAGATACCTCAGAAGGCACCTTCTTCAAACACAGGGAAACAAATTCTTTCATAGGACGGGAAAAATGTTCATCCAGCTGCACAACACAAACAAAATCACCACCCTTCAAAACAATGAAAAATGACTTTTCCATATGGAAAAAGTAACTCTACTCAACAAAGCCTTAATCCCAAACTACAGCAGCAGTCTATTTGATACATCAAAGAAAACAAACCTGAGGGGGGTTTTCTCGAGGAATGATGAAAAGAACCCTCATTGGGTGGAGATCTGCAAGTGGAGGTTCCCCTTTAGCCATTTCAATTGCAGTTATCCCCAAAGACCAGATATCAGCCTGCATCAAGTAGCACCCAAATGCATGAAACAAGTGGACCAAGGTTCAGTGAAGCAAATAAAATAGACAGCCCTTCTGACACTTACCTTCTCATTGTATCCATCTGAATTTTGAATTACTTCTGGAGCCATCCAGAATGGTGTTCCTACAAATGTCTGCCAGAGCTTAAATTTATTAGTACAAAGAGTTGTCTGCTACACATAAATTATTAGAACATTCCCGTCTTATCATAAATAAAATAGATGCTCCATAACATAGTAAAGGAAATGCCAGAAAACTTCAATCCTGTTATATTTATCAAAGCATGGAAAGAGCATGACCTTTCTTCTCGAGATTGTCCTTGTTAGTTGTGCAGAAACACCAAAATCAGCAACCTGTTACACATTTGAGAAATAAGATTAAGAAACTAGAATCATCCAATTTAAACATCATATAACTTTTCCACGCCAGTCAGGATTAATGATTTTGGCTTTGTTTAGACAAAAGGCATACCTTAACATCTCCATTCTCTGTCAATAAAATGTTTGCAGCTGCCAAAATGATTGTAGGAGGGGTGTCATTAAAGAAAATGGTTAAAAGAATATAAGACTGCATGTTTGAATCTAAAACAAGAACAGAATAAGGAATCACAAATACTACTTTACTGAACATCAAAAAATAATTTGCTAAAGAGAATTTGAAATTGGTATGACCTTTAATATCTCTGTGAATCTTTCCCTCATTATGGAGGTATTCGATGGCATGTAGCAAGTCGCGCAAAATGCATGCTATAGACATCTCATCCAGTGGAGGTCCTGCTTGAATCTACCAAAGTACAATGTATGTTAGCTCCTACTCTCCAGAAGTGCCTATAGAGAAGTTAAATTTCTTTACTCCTTCAGGATTTTGCTGACTAATTTGTAAACCAAACAATTGCACCCAAGCAAGTAATCTATTATATGGAACCAATTACAACAAATAAATACAACTCCTTATTTGTTTATTTGTTTATTTAATTATTTTTTTGATACACATCCTAGATGATAGTTTCACACAATGCACTTTTGCAATATAAAATAGCACACTTTTGGTTTTATACTTTGTTTTATCCATATTCTAAATCTGAAAACAAAATTTTGGGAGAGGATTCCTTATGGTCAAGGCAATCCATGCTTTTTTTTTCTTACGACAACATGATGACATCCATAAATAAAAATAATCAAGTGGAAAACACACATGTTTGAAAATGAGTTCTTGATACCTTTTCTTGTTCTGCTGTTTTTCTAGAAGTTTTTGAGGTAAACAACCTGTTGAAACGTTTGCCCCCGAAGATGACATGTTATGTACGTGTGTGTGTGTGTATAATTGTATTCATTTATAGCAATCCCAAGTATTATATGTATGTATTGTTTGTGGTCTAACAAATAATAGTCCTTTTGGCTTGAACAGGGTTGGTTGGAGAATGTTACCAAATGAAGTGGAGCCCTCTCTCTTCTTCATGGCCGTGGATTTGCCAAAAGCTTGAATATCTCTAGTTCCATGATAGAGGAGAAACCTCACAATTTTCTATCAGTTGTAATCTGTTCTAGGGTTTCAAGCAACAGCAAAACTTTAGAGAAAGAAATTGAGAACAGTTCACATGGTCCTCTTCTCACATGATTAGTTTTATTAAGAGGTGAAGAAAATTATGAGATTCTGCTCCCAGATGATAAATTATAGACAGATCTATTGTAATAGAGAAAAAATCACAACCTCTACCAACACCATCAATAGTAAGAAATGACTTTAATCAACTCTTGGAGGCTATCTCATGTCATCAATGAAATTCAGATTTTGGCATATTTTTGGACTGCCTTGATTTTCCTCATTTAGCTAGGTCATCAACCAGTTTATTAGCACTCCTTGGAATACATCTGATTGAACAACTCAAACTTTCTCCCAGAGACTGAACTTCCCCAAGTGAGAATCTGAATCTCCATGCAACTCATTTGTATGCACAGCCAAAACATTACCATTTGACAGTCCCCTTCTACAATTAACTTCCTCCAGTTATTCACTTGTGCAAGCTTTAGTTCTTGCATTACTGCCATTACTCTGCCCTTATGGAGTTACCAAGCCTTGCTGGACCAAAGGAGCTAGGCTTTTTTTTTTATTGGAAATGGTAACTTCATTAATACAACTAAAGAATAACTTTCCAGAGTTAAGTACAGCTGTCAACCCCTAAACAGGTGTTGAGCCCCCAGTAATCTTTCTTACAAAACTGCCCAGAACATTCTCTCCCTCAGTCCATTTGAAGCATGCACCGATCCCCCTTGTTGTGTTGAGGATTTCCCTTATGGGCTGTCTATAAATCCAGGCTCCCAACTTACCAGATTGCAGCCACTCGATCAACAATTTAGAGTCTCCCTCTATCTCAATTTGGTGTAACCCCAATTGTTTGGCATATGTTACACCTTGAAGCAAGGCCATCACCTCTGCTCTCAATGAGTCCCCCACTCCTATTGATCCTGAAAACATAGCCACAATTCTGCCACTTTCATCTCTGAATACTCCTCCTATATGCCCGGGTTACCTCTAGAACTCCCGTCAAAGTTCAATTTCACTCTTTGTTGTGTTGGTGGGGTCAACAATTCCTGCACAATAGGTTTTATGGAAGTTGTAGATGCCACCACTTCCCAATTCCTGTAAATGTCTTAAAAGGAGCTAGGCTTTACATAACCTTCTTAATCCCTAATTACCCAACCAATGCCTAAAACACCAGGATAACCAAGGCTATACCCATCAAAATTCAATTTTAGTTATCCAACTTCTGGAGAAGTCCAATTCTCAATTCTTTGCTGTTGTTTTCTTTCTTTATGATGAGTAACAAACCAGAGATTTTATTATGTATAATTGAAGAATTTTTGTTTTGGATCAATAACAGAAAGCTTTATTAATGAATAATATTTGTGAAGTTTAATTACAGAATAGGGGAGGTAAACTATCTTAACTCCCCAACAACAAAAGGACAAAGAAGAAACTAAAAATTAGCCCAAAACAAAGAATCCTTAGCACCCCTTGCCTAACCCATCAGCCATTGAGTTAGTGCTTCTCTTCACCCAGCTGCATTTCACCTCTAAATCCTTACTTTTTTTTTTTATCAATAACACTTTCATTAATTCATCAGTAGAAAATTTACAAGTGGAAGACAAACACACTTATCTTCCAAGAGTCACAAAGAGCTTCAAGAAAGGAAAAMAGAAAATACAAAGACACTAACGTTACAGCTTAGCCCAAAACAATGAATCCCTTTCTGCCCCTTGTTTAGCTAAACCGTCAACTAGGAATTAGCAGATCTTTTA